TTGGAGCAAGAGATAATTTGTTTAAATGTTGGGGAAGGTGGAAAATGGTGTTCCTCTCTCATTTCTGTGTTAATAGAGTGTCATCAACAGGCTGTTGGGTTCACCACAATTCTTTAAAAATAGGATTGCTCTGCAGTGAGACAGAGGGATTAATTATTAAGCTACTATTTAGAAATGTATATCAGAAGAATTTATTCCAAATTCAGAGAGATAACAAAGTAATCTGAAGAAATCTTTTGGTGCTCTAGATTAAACTTATGCGGGTTTATTCATTAAACTTTGGTGTAGTATATGTTATGGCAGAGTTTTTAATCTACTTTGTGCAGAAATAGGATGAGACCTTTGTTCAGATTCTACAACATACACTTTCATGGCAGGCAGGGGGGAGGCTATAGACAAAACATGTATTCTCACTTTGCTTTACTTGATATGTAGGTAACATCAGTGTATGTGCCTAGAATTTGTGGGAGACAGGATTGTATCCATGCAGCCTAAACTTCTAACTTATCGCTACACAATTTGTAATATTCTGTCTGAATTTGCACTACTGGGTCAAGTGCAGGATTAATGTGTCTGTTATGTGAATACCAAAAGATTATTTTTTTATATTTATTGGATACATGAGCAGATGTTTATAAAGGGCTGGATGTCAACTTCTCAATGCTGAACATTTATTTGAGACAATGTAAACTTGTTCTATAATTGTCCCGCTTTGATGTAATACTTGTATTATTAGATGATTCGGGGGAAAGAAATAAGATTTAAAGAAGTTACTGTGGTGCTGACCAGTGCACTCAAAACCTGGAATATATTGATTTATGAAGAACTTTGGATTTATCAAGCATGGGCAACAACAATAAATACTGTTCTGCTTTGATGGAAAGATATGGCCGTTGCAGATGTAATATCCCAGATTGAAGACACGTGTCTTTTGATTGGCTCTTTCCCAACATAATGAAAAGACTGAACAATATTATTCCATCTGCTCAAGTTTAATTTGCTGGTATATATTCTTTTTAAAATGCATTTTTATAATATTTTATTTTTTCTTATTTTTTACTTTGTTAATTTTATATATTGCTTTAGATTTCTATTAGTTTCTCTCTCTCTTTCACTCGCTCTCTCTCTAGCAATGAAATAATATATTAATAAAAAAACACCACAGCTCAGTCAGCAATAAGGCAGGAAAGGATTATTATTAATCCACAACAGACCTGAGGTTGGTTTAAGCTACACTGTCCTTTTCTGATCATTCATGTCATGCAAACATCCCAAACCAGTCCAATGTGGAGTAGTTTCCAGCAGCGGCATCTGAAACAAACCACAATGGCAGCAAAATGAGGACACGCACATGGTGAAGTAATCACACAAATTTCAACCTGATGTACTTATATCGTAACATGTGACACAAGTACATAAGTTGCATCATTTGTGCAATGAGGTCACATGTGTTGTCATTTTCTCCCTCTCATGCCTCTCACGGACACTCAGGGTTTCCAGTCCTTGAATAAAACATTGGAAATGCAGAGCAGTTGAAAAAGCATCCCTGTGCATTGCAGTACACATGGAAAGCATTTCCCAAACCCTGACTGGCTGCCATCCCCAGGTCATGCTTATTGCTGCCTGCTGACAAATGGAGAAATGGCAACTCATGTAGTGAAGCCTTGCTGATACTCTCCCAGCATGAGTTTCATGCAAAAACTAGTAGGATTGGAGGAAGTGCATCAGGTTCCACCCAAAGGACTGCTCTTAGTCCGGTTATCATAATTGTTCCCTTTGATAGCTACTAATAAAGTAGGACTGGGTTAGGGCTGCATGGATTACATGCACTGCGCAATCAGGGCCTACAGGTCTATTTAACATCTGGTTCATCCTAGCTCTTGGAAGCAATATGGGAGGCTTAAGAAGCTACCCTTTCCCAGATCAGACAAGTTGTCCATTTAGCCCGAGGTGTCTACTCTTGACTGAAAGTTTTCAGGCTAAAGTCTGTTTTCAAATGGAATACTCAGTTTTTAAGTAGAGATGGCAAAAGTGGACCTAGGAACTATCTGTGAAGAATTGCTTCTGCCAATGGGGAGCCATTACCTTATTTTTAATGGAATCCAGTTGTAGCTTGGAGTAATAAAAGATAGATTCAGTCCCATAACTGACTAGAAAGTAGACTCTATTAAAATCAGTGTGACTTGAGTTAAAATCCACCCTCAAGATTTTTTAAGCTCCAAAGGAAGGCCTCCAATACCTTTAAAAACAGTATTAGGTAGTATTTGCTGATTTTCCTCAGTTCTGTAAAACCAAGAAGAATTTTGAACTTTCTGCTGAAAAGAACTACAGTACAGTATTAAGACTAAAAATGACTGTGTGTTCACCACATTGACAGGGAACTCTGAGAGTCTGCAAACATCTGAGGGTGCTAGGCGGAAAGCTGATCCAGTAGTGAAGTAAGAGGCAAGGTGAGAGGTGTGTGTGTGTGTGGGGGGGGGGGGGGGGATTGATAGCTTCACATACTTTTGAGAGAAGCCAAGGTGCCTGTAAGTGTTTGTGGCAGCCAAAGACTAGGTAGGAAAAGGCCAGGGATCCCAGCCTTTGGAAGCAATTTCTAACCTTGGGACAGAAGACCCTGGCTCCCTAGAAACAAGCAGTTCTGACACCATCCTGGGACTCCCTCTCAGTTTGTTAAAACCGAATCTCCAGCAACAACTTCAGACATGAAGTTTGTTAGACACTTTCTAACAAACTGCAAGGGCTCACTTCGGTGACCCCAAACCTCAATTTTTGCTCGCTTAAGTCGTGAGCAACTTTCTGTTCATCTACCGACGTCCCAAACCAACAGCTCCAGCGATGCTTGCTGACCGCGAGTTCTTTTCTGCGCAAACTCCACTCTTAATCAGGCGCGGGGAGGCATTGCGGGGGGAAATGCAGAAGAAAAGGTAAGGCTGCGAGGCACGTACAGCAGGTTGAAGATCCGGGAGCTGATGGCGCAGCTGGCGGCCGGCGCGCCCCCGATTCACGAGGCTCCTCTCATCGCTGAGCTCTGCGTTGCCTTTTCGCGTTATCAAGTCTCGCTTGAGGGCAAAGGAAGCGCGGGGTGGCAACTTTTCGGGTGGTCCAAACCATTGGGACGTAGGCGGCAGCGGCAGCGGCGAAGACCTGTGGAGCGACGAAGTCGAGGCTGTTGCCAGTCTTCTCCGGCTTAGCGGCGAGATTTCACTTTAATTCTGCTTCTCTCCATACAGAAACGTTCTCCCTCCTCCCTCTCTTTCGCCCTCTTCTCCCGCTATAGGGCTTCAAAGCACGCAGCCTGCCCCGCCCACCGCCTCCTACCGGGAATCACTGAAGATCTTCCCCCTCCGGATTACTTACAAACAAACAAACATACATTCCCCGCGCCTGCTCTCGGCAAAGCGCTCCAAAATACGTGGCTCGGAAGGAGGCGAAGTCGAGCGCAGCCCGAGGGAGGAGGGTTGCTAGGCGAAAAGAGGGCATCGCCGGGGGGGGG